GAATTTCGCATTACTTACCTCGATTGTCCCACCGCCCATGCTGCAACATATTCCTCTAGTGAGTGTGTAGTGTATATGCACAATCACAAGTAATGCCATCATAATTTCACAATAATTGACAACTCGAGTTGTGCAGGCGCGACTTGAGCGATGGATTTAAGATTGCCATTAGACCTTAAGTTTGTAGACCAGGCATATTTGAATGCACATTTACACCATCTCATTGGTGGAGTTAAGCGCCACTGATCAATCATTCCATAATAATATATGAACGCACTGGTTAGCTAAATACATTTTTTGTTCTATTTGCCATCATTGTTAATTAATCTATCCATGAAACCAACGGAACAAGTGCTTTGCGTGTCTACCACAACCTTGCATTGGTTTGGCCGCGCGTGCATTGTGCCTGATGCGGCGCTGACTCCAGCCGCTATCCCCATTCCATTCAGAGACAGTCATATTACCCATCATCCCATCCATAGCGGCCAGTGTAACCTATGATACTCCATTGTGAACTACTCATCCGGCCTGTACCGGAGTACTCCTGTGACTCAATTAATCACATTTAAGCTCTGTGGGTTCTCTGAGATCGTTCTATGAAAGCTCGCCATCTACCCCATTCCATTTTACTTGCAGATCTTGTAAGAAATAAAGGTTACAAAGAGGGATAGATAAGGTACTTAGCTTAATAGCATAGGATAAATACGGATGACCCCACTCAATCTCCTCGTAAATGTCCAATGACGCGTAGGCGCCAGCCTATTGCCAGAATCAATTAGGAATCTTGCTGTTGTGCAAGGAGCAGAGCAGCCGTCGTCAAGTAATATCCATTATGCAGGAGTGAATAACCTAGAAATTAGACCAGCATGATATAATTAATTATGTTTATTACCATTATAATAATACATAATAATAAGAGACAATATATCGTTGGTCAGTGGCAACCAGGGTGATAATATTTTTATTACGAGATATATATATTCGCAATGTTCCATTTTCATGTTTTGATTTATTTTCAATCTAATATATTTGTAAAGTCTCACATTCGAATGTCTACCTATTCCATCCATTGAAGCCATCCATCCACTCCAGTCAGTCCATTGGCAGCTGAGATTCAGAAGCTAGTCTGAGGCACACTGTCACAGACATACCATCTCATCACCATATAGCACTCACGGACGCACATAACCCAAGTCACACGATACACACACACCATTTCCATCTATCCATCCATCCCATCTCATCCATCCATCATCCATCATACATCACGCCATAAACATCCGACTGCACCGCCGATTACGCACGCACGCAACGACAACTCTACACCCATCGCGCACATGCAGCAGCCATCAGCGCACCACAGCACGCGCACGCTGACGCACCGCACGTGCGACAGGCGACGCAGCGAATGCATGGCGATATTGAATGGATGGATTAATGGATGGCCAATTGGATCACATGATGAATGCGATGGGTGCGGACTGGAATGGTACTGGATGGATGGATGGATGATGGATGGATAGCAGATCGAATTTGAATTGGACTCAGTGATGGTATGGAGCGATCTGGATGAAGATGTGATAGATGGATGGATTGGATGGATGATGGAATGCGATGGATCCGGAATGGATGGTGATGGATGGATGGATGGATGGATGGATTAGTATGGAATAGGATGGCCATATGGATGCGCAGGATGGATGGATGGAGTGGCCAATCCGATCCATGTCCATCCATCCATTCCATCCATACCATCCAATCATACCAATCCACACCACCCATCTTCAATTCCATCTATCCATCCATCCATCCATCCAATCCATGCCATCCATCAATCCATCTATGTACACATTCATCCATCCATAGTTATTTTCCGATTCATTTCATCATCCATCCATTCCATCCATCCATTCCATGCCATCCATCCATCCCAGTCCATCCATTGCTATCCATACTATTCCATCCATCCACATCCTCATCGTCCATACCATACCATCCATGCCATCATCCATCTCATCCATCCAATCATCCATTATCCATCCATCCAGCCATCCATCCATCCATTCCATCATCCATGCTATCCTCCATCCATCATGCCATCCAGTCCATCCATCCATCCACCCATCCATTCATCTATCCATCCATCCATAATCCATCCATCCATCCATCCATCCGCGCGTGCGTGCGTCCGCGCGTGGCGTGCGTCGCAGTGCGTTGCGTGCGTGCGTGCGTGCGCTGGTGCGTGCGTGCGTGCGTGTCGTGCGTGCGCGTGTGTTATGTGTGTGTGGTATGTTGTGTGTATTGTGGCGTCGTGAGTGCATGTGTGTGTAGCTCAGATAGCTTGAAGTGACATCATGAATTACAATATTAAATGAAAAATAAATAAAACATGAACTAATATATATCGTAAAAAATATTCACCCTGTTGCCAGACCACGTATATTGTCTATTATTATTGTATTATTATATAACATAATTATTATATTTGCTCTATTATTATTCACTCCTGATATTATTGACGACGTGCTCTGCTCTTGCACAAGCAAGATCTAAATTGTGGCAATAGGTGGCGCTACGCGTATTACGAGAATGGTCATCCGTTTTACCTATGCTATTAAGCTAAGTATTTAGCCCTCTTTGTAATTTATTTCTACAAGATCTGCAAGTAAAATGGAGGTAGACGAGCCAGGAACGTCAGAAGCCACAGAGCTAAGTGTAATGGCAAGTACTGGTACAGCCGGAAGTGTCACAGTATCATTACACCCGCTCGTAATCATGAATGTCTCTGAACACTGGACCCGCATCAGGGCACAGCACGGCAAACCAATGCAAGGTTGGTAGACACGCAAACACTTGGGCCGTTTCAATAATAAAATGATGGTAAATAAACAAAAGTGTATTTGCTACCAGTGCGTTCATGTTTATGGACTATCTATCGCCTTATCCACGTGAATGTCATTCAAATGCTGTCTACAACACTTAAGTCTAAAATCTAAATCTCGCTGCACACATTGTCAATTTAATTCATTACTTGTGCTGTGGTTGTGCATAAACTCACACTCACAGAAAGATGGTGCAGCCGGTGGGAAACAGTAAGTACCAAATTCAGACAATACTCATTGCATTTCACACTGTCATAGCATAGGACAGGTACATAACCATTTGCCTCCATATTCCTATCTATGCCTAGCCAATTGTTCACTTGGGTGAATTATTGCCTTTGCACTTATTAAACATAATTTATGCTGAGAAATGTCGTAAAATCCTATGAAAAATTGCTCTCTGTGGTTTTGTAACTAGAGAAACTGCCTTCTCATACATAATAATATTACCGTATTGCATTCTGGCTTCAAGTGCTCCATGGTGCCAAGGGAGATAATTCGAACAAGTGAACACTTGGATATGCACAGGTTCCAACATGGAAAAATCATTGGTATTTGTGCTATGATAGTGATAGATGAAGCAAACATCTGAATTTGGTGTGCATAACTTCCTACCTGCTCTACTATGAGGTTGTGCAGAGAGGCATGCGGGCATTGAGATTTCATTTCGTAGAGGAGCATTTGAATGCCATTAATTAACATAGAATTGTTAGGCGATTGATAGTACATAAACATTGAGACTTTGGTAGGAAATACAATTTGTACTGATTAGCTCATCTGACATAGTCAGATGCAGCTTGTAGAAAATCGCATGATCGTCCGTGCGTCCGTGCGTCCGTCCGAGCGTCCCTCCGTCCGTCAACAGTTGGGCACAAATCTTAACCGCTCGACGTACGGTCACGATATTCGGGACGTTGGGGGGTAATCCGAAAACGAGTTGGGATGTCGAAGCTGGGGGTCAAAGGTCAAAGGTCAAGAGGTGTAAAAGAAGGGGGAACATTCACTCCTTAACTTAAGGTATAGGCGAGGAAATGCAGAATTGCGGCACAAAATCTAAACGACTCGACCTGAGGACTCGTTATAGCGGTGTATACAGCATGGTAGGAAAGCCATCACTGTGTCGAAATTGGAGGTCAGCAGGTCAAAGGTCAAATGGCTACAGGGCAGATTTTAGCCATTCTCGAGACGATGGGCTGACGGGAGCGATTGAAAAACTTTTTGTTTCAGCGGGGCTGACCTAGCATTTTTATGGCTCTTATTGAAAGGACATGAAATATGCTTGCCACTGACATGCCGAAAGAGTACAAGTGTCGGATAACCTTTTTACCCTCGAAGAGCGAGGGTTAACATTGATTGGTGTGACTGTTAACAAAGGACTGAAATCTGCTTTTGCTATTATAGAGCCCATACTGTGTCAATGTGAGGCTACAGGTTGTCACAGTTTACAATTGCCAAAGGCAATGTTTTGTTGAAGCAAAGGTTAACGCTCCTTAAATCATATCATTTTCTAAAGCAGTCTGTCTATAGCACCCTGCCCCTGGGCCTGAAGGCTGAATGATGAATCAGTTGTAATGCTCCGCATGAGGTACAAAAACACGGGCACGCTTCTATTCATACTAATCATAATTGTTTCCTGCCAACCTGCAATGCCGTGTGTAACTCAACAGCCTGAGCGCGAAATTATCCGCCTGCCTAATATACTTACTTGGAATTTTAGCCTGTACCTACCTGTAGGATTATCAGAATGAGGGCAGCATGCCATTTCTTTGATTATTTGTTACACTTGCTACGCGCACATCTCCCTGGCCAACTATAGCCTCGTTTAAATTAGATTTTATTCTCATGTTAAACTTTGTTAAACGAATGATAAGTAACTAGTAGCCATATAATAATAATATTACTTTCATCTTAAATATTAACATATTATCATGTAGCCTATGCCGGCGTATCCATTTACCAGTTATGCCGAACATAAGCTGTTACCATAGAATAATTAGAGCACACTGATATATTATGATGTTTCGTTATAACATGGTTACACTCGGGGCATAGGAAGGAAAGTATTTATATGAGGGGGCCAGTAAGGCATCATCGACTGGGTTTTAAACTTATTTTTATATAATTAAGTAGAAGAGAGAGAGAAAGTCTAAGATTAAAGAGAGACGAGAGAGTAGTAAATGAGAACGGGGACAGAAAACGGGCTACGGTGGTATGCGAGCGCGCGAAACGGTGGTACAATAGTCGACTCTTGTCTTCGTTACTGTAGGCATTTCGCGAGATGGTGTGCTGGAAGGAGGGTGGGAGGCAGGGAGGGAGGTCGAAGGCAGGCGGAGGAGAGATGGGAGGTAAGGGGGTGGAAAGTGAGAGCGAAGCGAAAAAAAAGGGAGTGAACGGGGCAGGGGGAGGGGAGAGGAGGTGGTGGGACGCCAGTGGGGAGGGAGGTGGGGAGAAGACTCCCCGCCCCTCCTAATTATACTGGAGATAACCCATGCTCATATGTTGAAATCTTTTATAGATAGATAAAAAGTAGATAGCTGTGAATCTAGACTACAAATTCGTAAGTGAAGAGGCAAGCATCATTCTAATTAAAATAAGACCAAAATCGCATGGGGGGGGAGATAGTGAGCGTGTCTAACAATGATTGTGTACCAAACATGCGTATCTGCCATATCTGCGCTAACAAATGTGTCATACGCACGACTGAAATTGCTTACGCCTTCATAACCGTAGCAACAGACCCCAGATGAGCCCAGACGCTCTGCGGCTCTTGTTTACTATCATTTTGTAATTAAAACGGTCCAAGTGCACGTGGGTAGGGAGATCATGCTTCATCTCATGAATTGTATAAAACACAACACTGCAAAGTCTGTTCGTCGAGTATGAAACATGTTTCATGTATAAAGTTATACAGGGTGGCTATGTAGCTTTGAAAGCTGTCATCTCTCGGGCATATTGTGCAAGTACCTGTGAATGTGTTGCCATGTCACCAATGGTTTTGCTATGCCAAGAACCATGGGTGTTCAACAAGACAAATGTTGATTGGAAAAAAGTACAAGTCTCCACTTGAAATTTTAAAATGATAATCATGAAAAGTTCACACTTTTCGGACACTAGTTGTGTTACTAATGTTTTGATGTTTATTTTACAATCATTTCTATGGATTCAGTGCATTTAACTGTCAACTGATTTGTATTTTCTAGTTCTTGGAGCATTGATTGGAAAACAGAAGGGGAGACACATGGAAGTTTTCAACTCCTTTGAGCTTATGTTTGATATCGTAGAAGAAAACATTGTAATAGACAGAGAATATTATAATACAAAAGAAGAGCAGTGTAAGTGAATTAATAATAATCCCATTTTATATTTTGAAAAGTGCTATGTAGGTAGTTTTTGGCTAACAAAAATTAGCAATTTCTTATTTATGCTTCACCATGCTAGCTTTGCTACAATTGAAGTTTGTACAAACCAATTGCTCATCCGACAATGACACCTTGTCCAGCTGGCATGTTTCCAATTTAAGGGAAAGTCTAAAACACTATTTGGCAAAGTAAACAGCCTGCCGCCCTTTTTACCACATTGGGTTGAGCATTTGCTTGGGAGCTGAATTTGATTACCTGTCTAAGAGCCAGGTTTACCTAGCATGCACAGTCAAAATGTGAATTTGAATTTTACTAGGTTCATTGAGCTCCTAGGCTCATACATAGAAATTTTTATACTCTGTGCTTCACCAAAACCTGTTTGTGTGCAAATTTACAGTAATAGTACTTCTACGTGTGTTAGCTCTGAATGAGAAAGGGTCCCAAAACAGACAGTTTGGTCCGACTAGAGTTCAAAAAGCTTATCATTTTACAATACTTTAGGCGCCGATTCCAAATGTGTGACATAGAAGAGTAGCTTGCCGCATTGCTTTAATATTGTTTATTGTAATTGTCTTTTCTAGACGGTGTCTTATTACTGATTAATTTCAGTTAAACAGGTGTTCAGTGACATGGACTTCCTTGGTTGGTACACAACAGGTGGCGGCGCTGATGCTTCAGATATCATGGTGCATAAGCAAGTGTGCGAGATAAATGAGAGTCCTATATTCTTGAAGCTCAGTCCTCTGAGTAGGCATGCAGATGTAAGTATCAGTTGCAGGTTCATCTATATATACAAGTGTGACTGTTATTAAATATGACATGCAACAATTGCAGACTTATATACAAGTGTGGTTAGTCATTATATGTGATGCGGGTATATGGTTAGTTATTGCATATGACATGCAGAGGCAGTGTAGTACTCGAAAGCTTACACACTTGCCTCAAGTTGCCATTAGACATGATTATATAAATATTATTGCTATTTTGGTGCTGCGCAGGAGTATTACTTGTGATAAATGTGGAATAGTAAGGTTTTTCCATCAGAAACCTGAATAGGTCAGAACACTATTCACCTGCTTCCAATTTATGGATAGTATTATCATGTATAAAATGCAAACACCAGTAAATTTGCTCAACGTTTTTTTTCCATAGTTGCCAGTAAAGATCTATGAATCTGTGATAGATATAGTTAGCGGTGAAGCGACGATGCTTTTCGTTGAGATTCCTTACACGCTGGCGACAGAGGATGCCGAGAGGATTGGGGTCGATCATGTAGCTCGCATGTCCAGTGACAGTGGCGTCAACTCTTCAGGTATGTTGGGTACTAAGAATATCTGCAGGGCAGGAGTGTTGATTAATTGCACTCGGATTTGCTAGGTACATAGGATGATCTATGAACTATGTACGTCTATTATGTGCCTAAAGTTACGTGAGAAATTTGTAGAGCTGTATAAGCAGCTTTTCATGAACAGAAAATAAAGGCTGTCAGGGGGTAGGAGAACTACTGTATTTATATATTAATGCCTGCTGTTGGGGGCACTATGCTCTCATAGTGTTGCTGAGGGAAGGAATGGAGGGGAGGGAGGAAGGGAGAAAACTATTCCTTCCCAAAGCAACACTATGAGAGCATAATGCCCCCAACAACAGACATTAATGTTTTTAGTGCATCACATGACTATGCAATCTACTTTTCATGCTTATATACCTTCTTTATACTCCCTAATTTGCCGGTGCATTCGATGTAACAAAACGTTCGACACAAACACAAGTTCACAACCGCCGTTCGAAACTTGCGTGGCGCCTAGACGCAGGAGATTCGTGACGTGAACACAATGCGTTATAATAACAATGCGTCGCGCGAGCAATAGTGCCCGCTCAGGCGGGCACTATTGCTTCATAGTGCCTGCTGCGTTATCCAATGGAATTTCAACGATTTATCACGTGATGCACTAATATCAAATAATGGGCATTTGGTCATAATGTGGATAAAGACAACACTTACAAATTATAAGTGCACGTGTTTAGCAAATTATCCAATTCTACTATAGGTTCTTGTAATTATGAAAGTAACAAAATTGCAAAGCAAAATGCATCATATTTAGAGATTTAGTCTATATTAGATGTTTCTAGACTTGGTTAGGGGTGCACCGGATCCAACTTTTTAAGTTCCAGCTGGAACCGGAACCAGCTGGAACTTGAAAAAGTTCCGGCCGGAACTACCTGTCCGGAACCACAGGAGGGTTGTTAGGAACTACTCTAATTACAGGAGGGTTGTTAGATGTATGAATCAGCTGCTTATAGTGCATAATTTGCATAATTCTGGCATCTTATTTGTGAGTGAATTCTGTGATTCTTCTTCTGAATGATTGCGACTCAAAGGGTGAACCTATTATATAATGTGTAATTGGTTGCTTGTCTTCATTTATGATACAGTTGCAGATCACCTCATAGCACAGCATAATGCCATAAAGATGCTGCATCATAGGGTCAAGCTCATCCTCGAATATGTTAAAGCAGTTCAGTCAGGTGAGATTGGTGTGTCTTTTCGAAGAAATAAGCTGTTCATTTGTGTATGTTTTTTTTTGGGTGCATGTATTGTATTTAAATGCGTAAATCTGTGCATGAGTATCTATAGGTGCGTAGTTGTGGGTACTGTATGCAGATGTTTGTGTGTACGCCCCTGTTCTTCCTATATAGTGTACTTGTGTTTTTCTTTTCTTTTTCATGCAGGAGAGCTGCCTCAGAATCATGAGATACTAAGAGATATATATAGTCTTGGCAATCGGCTGCCAGTTGTCAGCAACGAGACGTTTAAATCAGATTTCTTCAATGTAAGTTACTGGGTTCACCTTGGCTGCGTCATCATCTCTATCTGTTCCCTGCTTTCTCACCCGATCTTCTTAATCCCTGCCCATACATGCTTGTTTGATTCCTGCTTTCTCGCCCCTTTTTCTTAATCCCTACTCCCACATATTTCAGTTCCATACCCTCTCTCGGTGCCGTCTTAATACCTACCCACTCACAAATTGTCTTTTCCTTATCCATCACCCCTTCATCCCAAGTCCTGCCTCCGCAATGTTATCTGTTTCCCAACCCCGTTCCCTTTCATCCCAGTCCCTGCCACTACACAGGTACTTCTTCTCTACTCCTTATCTCTTTATTCCAATGCCTGCAAAATATTTTTGGCCATTTCTTATTCCATTGCACTCCCGTCAGATTGCTCATGTTCTCACCATTGTTTTCGATGCGTCGTAAAATTTTAGAGCCATGATTGAAATTTCGTTTTTATCGTCCCAGCCTGTGTCGTATTAATACCTGTTCATTTTTTTCTGCCATAGAACTATTCTAGACTTTATTAGTATGTAGTATGCATTATATGCGGTGATAAGACAGAGCTTCAGTGTATTAATATAGGTATGCTTGTGTGGCAATTTTTGTGAACATTTAGAATAGACTGCTTCACAGAATAAACCCAACAATCAAAACACATCAGATTGCAAGTGTAAGTCTGATGGAAAATCTTATAGGGGAGCTACTATTTCATACTTAAAGATAAAAAACAGGTGATTGGATTGTGAATCATGAACAATGTGAACCAATGTGAATCATGAACAATCTGAAGTAATGTGAAATTATCATGAACAATCTAAACCAATGTGAATCATGAACAATGTAAAGTAATGTGAATCATGAACAATCTGAAGTAATGTGAATCATAAACAATCTTTTGCTTCCCTCGCAGCAATGCAATGATGTGGCTCTCATCTCGTACCTTGGAACCATCACAAAAGGCTGCAACACGCTCAATCAGTTCATCATCAAGTTCAACGTGTTGTATGACCGTCACGGAATGGGCCGTCGACCACGTGGCCTCATCTTTTAACTGACAGCACAAGCCTGGCTTAATCACATTAACCCCACCCCCACCCCACCGACCACATAAACCGCCACCACCCACATGAAACCCTCTGTCCCATGCAATATGTGCTCGCATTGACTTCAGAATAGCCGTCTGCCAATTGGAAAGTCTTATTGTTTATTACAAATTTGCTGTACATTTCACTGCGTTTCTAAAGTGTGTTTCTTTTTTTTTGACATAACCTTTTCTGTCCACGTTGGGAAATAGTTTCAAGTTAAAGTGCGACTTAAACATACAGCTGTGTTCAGTTAGCTATTCGTGTTGGTGCATATCTTTGGAGATGCTTGAATTTGCTTGTGTTGTTAACAAACAGTGAGAGGCCGGCATTTTGCACGCTCGTACATTGACGTGACCAGGATTCTTATCTGCATCAGTTTTTATTTTCTGCAAGGAAACCCCAGTATCATTTTTACTTGATATAGTGTGTGGTGTTTAATGTGCAACTTATGGGTGAACCTGAGTATATTACTGTATAGGTGTGTGAATTATTACGCATATATGATGCGAGTAAAAATAAAAACATTTGCAGTAAAATACGTGAGTCGCAGACAAACCTGGCCCCAGTACCAAATGTCTCATCAGGCTCATATCGGGTGCATGTTGGAATCATACCAGGTATATATTGGAGCCATACCAAGTATATATTTGAGTCATACCAAGTATATATTGGAGTGATACCAGGTACAAATTGGGCTCTTAGTAGATATGTATCGGGGGTCATACTAGGTAGACATTAGATGGTGGTGGTGATGGGGTGATTCGAACAATGTTATGGTTGAGCAGTTCGATTCGAACTGATGTTATGTATAGTCGGGGTAATGCACGAAGACAGACTGTTTGATGAGCGTATAGCACTTGGTACATCATATATTGGGTGGTTTATGCTGCTTTACCGTTTCGTACCTGCTGCTAGTGTAAATAATGTGAGTAAGCGCATGTACATTAAATAAAGCTACGTCATGTCAATACGTGTACACTGACTATTATAATAAATACATTAATTGCACAATCTTTAGTAAAGGGACATGTGAATACTGCATGGGTTAAGTTAACATAAGGAAATGCAACGTAATGGTACGCGTGTTGAATCCATTCGTGCGATTGAACTACAAGATAAAATCGAGGGTTTTTATGGTGGTTCTGGCCCTAATTTAATCCATCTACATATCGAATAAATATGAAAAATGTGAAGCACTCATTTGACGTACAGATAAGAAAATGTATTCTTTTACATTTATTCTTTAAGACAATAATCCTTCAATACATCTGTTATTTATACGGTTCCTGCATACATATATTCTCTACACTCGTCTAAGCAAATTCAAACAAGCTCTTTTAAAATGGTTGAATTTACCCGGCATTACTTCATTCTGAAAAAATACGAAGTGTAAAGCAACTGGCTTACAAACACAGGCTATATACATTCCTAAACTAGTCAAGTACATTCAACGCATGTCACGAATCGCTGTTACAACAGACGTTTGCTTCTAGGAGTTGCGGTTATATATAAAGGGTATATAACGTACCAAACATCATACTATAGCTTATACAAAACATCCAAACCTAATATAAACATAGATCCCACAAGTAGTGTCGTAGTAGGGTTTACGTGTCTAACGTGCTCAGCATTGGCGTCGTTTCTCTGACTCCATGTTAAGTCCTCTCTCAGTTGATGACAGAATTGCGTCCATTCTCGAAACGCAGTTTTAAAATGCCTTTTTGTTCAACCACAATTAAGATTTTACTGAAGTAGACCATGAAAACGCGAGCCCAAGACCATCTAGGTAGCATCATGAATATCAGTATAATTATACAGTTCCTTGTTACAATGTATCGATGAACTGTAACCATGAATCATGTAAGAACGGCCGAATTAAATTATCTTGGCAGTCAACGGCCACCGACATTGGAGCGTCTTTTCCATGTACATTAGCATAGCGGGGAACCCAGGGCGCGATGCGGCGAGCAAAGTGAATATTATAGATCGGATATTTCCAAGAACACGTGCTGTCGGCCTGCCCGGCTCCACTTTGAATGTATAAGAACGGCCGAATGAAATTCTCTTGGCAGTCAACGGCGACCGACGTCGGAGCGCCTTTTTAATGTATATTAGCATAGCTGGGAACCCAGGGCGTGATGCTGCAAGCAAAGTGAATATTATAAATCGGATTTTACCTAGCACACGTGCTGTCGGCACCTCCGGCTTCACTTTAAACGTATAAGAACGGCCGAATAAAATTCTCTTGGCAGTCAATTGTGACCGACGTACGAGCGCCATCTTCCTGTACATATAGTCGCCTATAGGCATAGAGGGAAAGCCAGGGCGTGATGCTGCGAGCAAAGTGAATATTACAGATCGGATCTTACCAAACACACGTGCTGTTGGCTCACACTGGCCCACTTTGAACGTATAAGGACGGCCGAAGAAAATTCTCTTGGCAGTCAACGGCGACCGACGTCGGAGCGCCTTTTTAATGTATATTAGCATAGCTGGGAATCCAGGGCGTGATGCTGCGAGCAAAGTGAATATTATAGATCGGATCTTACCAAGCACACGTGCTGTCGGCCCACCCGTCTCCTCTTTGAACGTATAAGAACGGCCGAATAAATTGCTCTCGGCAGTTAACGGCGACCGACGTCGGAGCGCCTTTTTAATTTACATTAGCATAGCTGGGAACCCAGGGCGTGATGCTGCGAGCAAAGTGAATATTATAGATCGGATTTTACCAAGCACACGTGCTGTCGGCCCGCCCGGCTGCACTTTGAACGTAGAAGAACGGCCGAAGGAAATTCTCTTGGCAGTCAACGATGACCGACGCACGAGCGCCACCTTCCTGTACATTAATATAGGCATAGCGGGGAACCCATGGCATGATGCTGCGAGCAAAGTGAATATTACAGATCGGATCTTACTAAACACACGTGCTGTTGGCTCACACTGGTCCACGTTGAACGTATAAAGACGGCCGAAGAAAATTCTCTTGGCAGTCAACGGCGACCGACGTAGGAGCGCCTTTTTAATGTACATTAGCATATAACCCAGGGCGTGATGCTGCGAGCAAAGTGAATATTATAGATTGGATTCTACCAAGCACACGTGCTGTCGGCCCACCCGTCTCCACTTTGAACGTATAAGAACGGCCGAATAAAATGCTCTCGGCAGTCAACGGCGACCGACGTCGGAGCGCTTTTTTAATTTACATTAGCATAGCTGGGAGCCCAGGGCGTGATGCTGCGAACAAAGTGAATATTATAGATCGGATCCTACCAAGCACACGTGCTGTCGGCCCACCCGTCTCCACTTTGAACGTATAAGAACGGCCGAATAAAATGCTCTCGGCAGCCAACGGCGACCGACGTCGGAGCGCTTTTTTAATTTACATTAGCATGGCTGGGAGCCCAGGGCGTGATGCTGCGAGCAAAGTGAATATTACAGATCGGATTTTATCAAGCACACATGCTGTCGGCCCGCTCGGCTGCACTTTGAACGTAGAAGAACGGCCGAAGAAAATTCTCTTGGCACTCAACGGGTAATGCTATCCCACGGGCGTGGAGGGAGGTGACCGCAATGTGGCAGCACTAGTGTTGGGATAGTGTTAGGATTAGGGTTAGGGTCAGGGTTAGGGTTAGGGTTAGGGTTAGGATTAGGGTTAGGGTTAGGGTTAGGATTAGGGTTAGGGTTAGGGTTTTTGCATCATGATATCTGTCCCCACACCATAGATTAATTTTTGTGGATCACAATGCCTATATATAGCGCGGCGACACATATATATTTAGTGTGAGTGTTAGTGTTGGCGGTGTTAAAGTGAGGGTTACCGTTAGGGTTAACGTTTTGAACGTCATCGTCAACGTTATCACGTGACCTCCCTCCACGCCCGTGGGATAGCAACACCCGCAGTCAACGATGACCGACGCACGAGCGCCACCTTCCTGTACATTAATATAGGCATAGCGGGGAACCCATGGCATGATACTGCGAGCAAAGTGAATATTGATGATCGAATTTTACTAAGCACACGTGCTCTCGGCCCACCCAGCTCCACTTTGAACGTATAAGAACGGCCGAATAAAATTCAATTGGCAGTCAACGGGGACCGACGTCGGAGCGTCTTTTTAATTTACATTAGCATAGCTGGGAGCCCAGAGCGTGATGCTGCGAGCAAAGTGAATATTGATGATCGGATTTTACCTCGCACACGTGCTGTCGGCCCGCCCGGCTCCACTTTAAACGTATAACAAAGGCCGAATAAAATTCGCATGGCATGCAGTCAACGGCGACCGACGTCGGAGCGCCATCTTCCTGTACATTAGCATAGCGGGGCACCCAGGGCGTGATGCTGTGAGCAAAGTGAATAATATAGATTGGATTTTATCAAGCACACGTGCTGTCGGCCCGCTCGGCGGCTCCACTTTAAACGTATAACTTATAAGAACGGCCGAAGACAATTCTCCTGGCAGTCAACGGCACCGACTTACGAGCGCCATCTTCCTGTACATTAATATAGATCAGTCATTGGCTGTCGTCTCGCCATAACAGATCATAACACCGAGCCAATCTTAAGATCCGGTGTCTCATGCAATAAGACAGAACTACGTCATGTGTTTTATGAGGTATGTACTTGCCAAAAATGTGCTTTAATACATTTATTACAATAATTAAAATGAATGTTTGTTTTCATTAGTTATACATGAGACGTAGGCCCCTACGTTTCTGTTCATATCAAACGTAAAGGAAAGGGAGGAAATATATTACGACACACTATTCATATACAGGGAATACAATCGTAAATGTGGTTATACTTCGTGAAAGGTTTAGGCCTACTTTTACTATTCACGATGGCCTATAACCACTATTAGAATTAATTATGGCCGGGAGTGATCGTCTATACAAGAAATCTCTGAAGAAATTCTGTCTCTTTTCAAAACTTGGAAAACCTGTTATGTATACTGCTACTAAACCTTTCAACCTAACTTTCAGCTGGCTTGTCATTTTTCACGCTATTTCAACTGACCACGTGTACGACTCATAATGATATTCAGCTTAGAATTTGATACCATGCAATGGAACCAGTTAATCACCTATTGCAAGCGATAATGTATTACACTTTCCTTATTTAGGGTATCACATCGCGTCTAATAGCGAAAACAACGTGATTAAGTTTCTTGGGGCATATTACATATTACATTCACAGCATCTCCCTCTCTCTCTCTCTCTCTCTCTCTCTCTCTCTAATCGCGCCGCTCGTCTAGTGCCGCTCTCTCTCTCCTCTCTCTCCGCTCCTCATCGTCTCTCTCCTCCTCTCTCCCTCTGCTCAGCTAGGACTCTCCCCTCTCTCTTCGTCTCTGCTCCCCGTCTCTCTCTCCTCTTGCTGCCGGCGGTCTCTCTCGTCCTTAATTTCCTGCTCTGTCTCTCGCGCTGGTCTTCTGTCTCGATCTCGCCTCTCTGTCTCACGAGGGCCCCTTGTCTCTCTCTGATCTGCTCTGACAGTCTACGTCGGTCTCATCTCTCATGCGTCTGGCAGATTCCATCTACTCGCCCGAGCCGGTGTCTCGCGGCGGGAAAGGCGACACGCTGTGGGGTCGTCTTTCATCATCATAGTCTCCTCATCTTATCTTCTCTCTGCTATTGCCGTCTCCGTCACGTGACCGTCGGTGTCGTGAAAACTCGGATCTGTCGCCTGCCTCGGACATCTCCCCTCTCTCCGATCCCGAATCTCCACATTCCTGCTATTCAGGGTTCCCGCTCTCTCTCTCGTGTGTAGGTGATGTGTGGTGGATAGTGTGTGTGAGGCGTAATAAGTGTGTGGTTTTGTGTGTAGCCGAGTGCATGGACAGAGGATATTGATATGTGGTAGCGCGGCGACCGATGAGAAGTGCGGGACGGACGGGGCGCCGCGGTTGGGAGCGGCATGGTGCATGACGAGGGTTACAGCTCGAGTGCGCTGTAGGAGGGAGAAAGATGGGGCCCTGTGGATGTGGCGTGGCGTGACGAGCGGGGGCGTATAA